AAAAGTAAAAGCTTCCACAAGGTGGAAAGTGTGAAAAATGTGTTCCTTGCATGACCTTTGCTCAGTCTTCTGTTGAGTAAGGGTTATTGGACTATCTGCAAGACAATAAATCATCCAGCAGATGCAGGACGAGATATCAGACCAGTCCAACTGCAAAGTGAACAATGGGCCAGGCAGAGTACATCAGCAAGAACTGTCGGAAGCTAAAAGTAGAGTATATAACCTACACCCCAACTGTAATTCAAGGCTGATCCCTTTTAGGCTCAGCCCACCTGCACCCAGGCACATGCAATAAAGCTATTTTGCTGTATATTGGCCATGTACTGTGGATGCGATCTTCTGCCAGCTCAGACCTTTTATAGGACACCAACTACAGTAGGCCAGCCTATGAAGCCTAGGAGATATAGCAACTCTACCTAATACGTAAAAACAAACATAGGGAGGCAGCCAAGATGAGGAGACAAATAACATGTCCCAAATGAAAGAACAGAACAAAACTCCAGGAAAAGAACTAAACAAAATGGAGATGAGCAATCTAACAGATGCAGAGCTCAAAACACTGGTTATAAGGATGCTCAGTGAACTGAGTGAGAACTTCAAAGAACTTAGTGAGAATTTCAAGGAACTTAGTGAGAACATTAACAACATAAAAAAGTACCAGTCAGAAATGAAGGATGCACTAACTGAAATAAAGAATAATTTATAGGGAATCAATAGTAGAGTAGGTGAAGCCAAGAAGCAAACCATGATTTGGAATATAAGGAAGCAAAAAACACCCAATCAGAATAGCAGAAAAAAAAAAAAAAAAGAATCCAAAAAAATGAGGATAGCCCTGGCCAGTTTGGCTCAGCGGTTAGAGCTTTGGCCCGCGGATTGGAGAGTCCCAGGTTCAGTTCCCGCTAAGGGCATGTACCTCGGTTGCAGTTTGTCCCTGGCCCTGGTTGGGTTTATGTGGGTGGCAACCACTCGATGTGTCTCTCACATTGATGTTTCTCTCTCTTTCTCTTCCCCTCTATCTCCCTCCTGCTCTATCTGAAGATAAATGCAAAAATGTCCTCGAGTGAGGATAAAAATGTATCTTTTTAAATGAGAATAGTGTAAGGAGCCTCTGGGACAACTACAAGCATACCAATGTTTGCATTATAGGGGTGCCAGAAGGAGAAGAGAGAGAGCAAAAAATTGAAAACCTATTTGGAAAAATAATGACAGAAAACTTCCCTAACTTGGTAAAGGAAAGAGACACACAAGTCTAGGAAGCACAGAGAGTCCCAAAGATGAACCTGAAGAGGTCCACACATAGACACGTCATAATCAAATTGAAAAAGGTTAAAGGCAAAGAGAGAATCTTAAAAGCACCAAAAGAAAAGCAGTTAGTTACCTACAACAGAGCTGCCATAAGTCTGTCCACCAATTTCTCAAAAGAAACTTTGCAGGCCAGAAGGCAGTGGCAAGAAATATTCAAAGTGGTGAAAAGAAAGGAGCTACAACCAAAATTACTCTATCTTGCAAAGCTATCATTTAGAATTGATTGTCATATAAAGAGTTTCCCAGACAAGAAAAAGCTAAAGGAGTATGTGGCCACCAAACCAGTGTTATATGAAATGTTGAAGGGTATTCTTGAAGAAGAACAAAAATATGAACAATAAAATGGCAATAAATACAGCTCTATCAACAATTGAATCTACAAACAAGCAGAACAGAAAGTCATAGATACAAAGAACTTTTTGTTGCTTGCCAGATGGGAGGGGAGTTCGGGGGGATGGTTATAAAAGGTAAGGGATTAAGAGGTACAAATTGGTTATTTGAGGTTGGGAAGAGATAAACCAAAGAATTTATATGCATATTTGCATAACCAATGGAAACAGACAATACTGTAGTTTGGGAAAGGCAGGAGGAGTACAGGACTGGGGAGGAAGAGTCAGTGGGGAATAAAAGAGGAGACATCTGTAATATGTTCAACAATAAACAATAAATAAATAAATAAATAAATAAATAAATAAATAAAGGGCAAAGGATTTAAATAGATATTTTTCCAATGGCCAATAAGCACATGAAACAATACCCAAATTCATTATCAGGAGAAAAATGCAATCAAAATCACAATGGGATAATACCTCTTATCCTTAGGATGGCTATTATTAACAAAATTAACATAACAAGTGCTGGCCAGGATGTGGGGAAACTGGAACCCTCATACATTGCTGCTGGAAGTGTAAATGGTATGGCTGTTACAGAAAACCAGTTTGGATGTTTTTTTAAAAGTTAAAGATATAATTATCATATTATTCAATAATCCCACTCCTAGCCACATACCCAAGAGAATTGAAAACATGTCTACACGAAAACCTGTACGTGACTGTTCATAGAGGCATTATTCACAATAGCCAAAACAAGCAATGGATAAACATCATCCAAGGAATGGATGAGAAGTCCATATAGAATGGAATATTTTTCAGCCATAAAAAGGAATAAAGTACTGATATATGTTACCACATGAATGGACCTTAGAAACATGCTGAATGACAGAAGCCAGACACAAAAGGCCATATATTGTATGATACCATCTATATGAAATGTCCCAAATAGGCAAATTCACAGAGACAGAAGTGGTTTCCAGTGGCTGGGAAGGGCAGGTAGGGGGAGGATAGAGAGTGAAGGCTAATGGGTGTGAGGTTTCCAATTGGAATGATGAAAATGTTCTGGAACTAGATGGTAGTAATGGTTGCACAACCTTGTGAATATACTAAAAACCAGTTTGTTATACATTTTTAAATGGTGAATTTTATGGTGTGCAAACATCTAAAAAATTTTAAATCTCAATAGAAAAAACAAGTTATGTACAGAGAAACAAAGAAAACACTAATGCCATATTTCTCATTGGAAACACTGCAAGTTAGTAGATGGTGGAGCTATATCTTTAAAGTATGGGAAATAAAAGCTGTCCTAGCAAAAATAGCTTTCAAAAACAAAACCAAAATGAAGACATTTTTTCAGACATACAAAAGCTGAAAGAATTCCAGCATATCCAGTCTATTAAAAAGTGTTAGATGTCTTTCAGGCACAAAGAAAGTGACACCAGATGGAAATCTAGACCCACTCAATAGAATGATGAACATAGAAATAGAGGTACATGGGGAAATGTGTAAGGTCTTGTCTTATTTAAGATAATCAAGTTGTTATTGTTGTATTTTTAATAGTTTTTTCCGTTTTATTTTGAGAGAACTGTAGATTCACATGCTTTTCTGAGAAACAGTATAGAGATCCCATATACCCTTCACCCAGTTTCTGGCAAGGTTAGCTTTTAACTCTAAAAGGTGATAATTCATCCATCAACCTTATTCTCATTTTACAAGTTTCACATGAACTCCACTGAGTGTGTGTATGTGTGTGTTCATGCAATAAAATGCAGTTTTATGATACTTGTTTCACATGGCAATAACATGTTCCTTTTTCTTGCTGAGTAGCATGCCATAGAACACAGTTAACCATTCACCCCCTGAAGGACAGGTGGATCATTACCAGTTTTTAGCTATTAGGAATAAAGCTATGTACTATAAGCATTTGGGTACAGGTTGTGTTATGAATTTGAGTTTTCATTTCTTGAATAAACACTCAACAAAATGATTGTTGGTTCACATAGTAAGCATGTCATTAGTTTTGTAAAAACATCCCCACCATGTTCTAAAGTGGCTGTACCATTTTCCACTCTTATGTTGGAAAGGGGCCACATGCTAACCTGACAAGCTCAGAGGAGGCTTGCATGGTGGTCTTGCAAACTCAGACACCTAAAGTAACCACAAAGAATGGTCTGAAATTAAATCTTTTTAACTAAAAACAGTTTATGGTAGATAGTCATGTCCTAGGCTAGACTCTTCCCTGACAAAAGTCTATCTTTACCTTAACTCAAGCTGTCTATTGTCTTTTGCATCTACAATAATATACCTTTGGAATATTATAGCAACTTCCCTTTTTCTAGACCCCTTAAGGCACAACCATTGCACGGGGGAGGACCACAAATCCTCTCATTGTTATTTTTATAATGTTATTTGTTGACTGTTAACTATCATGTACCAACCTATGTAAAAAATATATGTGTCTATCATTTTACTTTTTATACAATCTCAGAGGTGTCCCTCACCCCACCCCCACTTTGCTTTCTCCCATCTCCCTAATCTATTACCAGTGGATTTGATGTAACCCACTTGCATCTTCTCTTTTGATTCTAATGTATAAATAAGATGCAAAACTGCCATTTTCTGGAGCATTATCTCAATCTGATGAGATTTTGCTTCTCAGCAATTGTTGACAGTTTGGCTCAAATAACTCACAAAAATTCTCTATAGGTTTGAATGTTTCTTATGTTGACAAAGTATACAAAGACTTTCCCTAGTACTAAAGATTTCCTCCTATTGGTTTTCTAAAGTTTTATATTTTACATTTAAGTGTGCATTTCATTTTGAGTTAATTTTTATATATGATCTAGGTTCTTTTTTTTTTTTTTTTTTTGGCTTATAAATGTCCAAATTACTCCAGCACAATCTGTTGAAATTTTAACCTTCTTCCACTTAATTGCTTTTGTACTTTTATCAAAAATCAGTTAGACATATTTGCAGGGATCATGAACTGGTCTTTTCTGTGACCACCCTCCATCCTGAAGCTATCTAGGGGCCTATTAGGAGTCACTGCTTTAGTGACTTGTCACATAGGAATTTCAAGGGATTTAGGAGCTGAGTCAGGAATCAGGGATGAGACCTGGTAGGTATTACTTATTTCCCACAGTGCCATTAATCACTCACCATGACCCAGGATACCTCCAAGTCTTTCTGGGTCCTTCTTTAGCCCTGACACTTCTCAAGTAGTTAAAGCCCCCACCCCCACCCCAGGTGGCTCCCAGACAGCTCTCCATCAGCCACAAGATTTGAAGCCCCAAATCTAACCATCATCCAACCCAACACTGCCCTTCCCAGCCAGGAATCCCCAAGCCGACTAGCCATACTCACAGTCCACTCGGAGCTCAGCCTTGGTGGAGGACACACCCATACTGTTCTCAGCCAGGCAGCGATAGACACCCATGTCTGAAGGCACCACAGCCGTGATGATGAGCTGGTGGCCACCCTGCTGGTCATCACTGATCATATAGTGGTCGTCCTCTTCCAGTACCCTCCCATCCTTGAACCAGCGCACGCTGGGCATGGGCTGGCCTGTCACCACACAGTCGAAGCTCACAGGGTACCCATCCAGCACCTCCTGATTCTGAAGCTCAGTCAGGAACACCGGGGCTGGGAAGGACAAGTAGGTTATGCAAGTTAGCACCAGTCCTTGCCCCCGATCACCCCAGCTGCAGTGTGTGCACACGTGACCTTCGTGACGCCCATTCAAGTGGAAACATTCACAGACCAGGTGGCTAAACAGCACTCTGTCTCTGCTCTCTGAGCTCCTCCCTCCTCTCCATTCTCTAGGGGAGTTCTCCCTTTGTAAGCCTGGCTCTCAAGCCACCCTGTAGCCAGAAGGACAGTAGACAGGTAGCAGGGAGGAAGGGAAGTAGAAGGAGGATGAGGCAATGTGGCTGGAAGTCCAGGGTTTGAGGCCTCACACTCAGAACTGGAGAGGGAAAATTTCAAGACATGACACTATGGATTAATGACACCCCTTCTGCCATTTCTAAGGACATACAAGTAAACAATGAAATGGCTTTTTAATTCATTTTAATTGCTGGAGTGGGAAATGGGGTGCAGACCGAACCACATGGAACCCCACCTTTTATACAGGTTGTATCTTAAATCCTCATGGAGGAAAAAAGCAATAGTCAGCATTCCCATAGCCAGTACACAGATGAGAATGCTGAGACTATGACAGGCTAGTTAATAACAGGCAGAGCTGGGGTGGAGATGGAGCTCTATCCACCATAAAGTTGGCACTCTTCCAAGCTCAGTGGGCAGCATCTGCAAGAGCCAGAAGCTGGAGCCCAGCCAACTCCTTGACCTCTCAGCTGACCCTGGTCATGCACCAGCCTTGCCTTTCCTTTCCCTCCCACCTCAGGCAGCTTACAGACTCACCAGCCTCTACAGTCCGCAAGCTGGGCACTGGCTCCAAAGGCACTGTGGGAGCGAGGGCCACCTTGGCGATGCGTATCTCCACTCCTCGGGGTCCCTGCTCCAACAGGCTGATATCCACCCCAATGCCTAGCATGCTGAACATCTCCTGGAAGTGGGTGGCTGCCTGGCGGGCCTCGGCCAGTGTCTCAAAGCAGATGCAGACCAAGTGCTCGTCCTCGCGGTACCTCTGCCAGTCCCCATGCTCCTCAGACTCTGAAGAGGCCTCATCTGCACTCAAGAAGATCTCTTCGTCTGAAACCTCAGCTGGGCCCTTGATGCGGAACAGACGGTGCAGCCGCCGGGCTGCCCGGCGGAAGGCGTCATCCTGTTCACCTCCAGAGGAGCTCTCAACCTCACTCTCTGTCCCACTGATAACCACATGGGCACTGTGGACCGTACAGCCAAACTTGCTGCTCACCTGGCAGGTGTAGCAGCCGGCATCAGCATGGCCCACACCAGTGACCAGCAAAGAACAGGTACCATCCCCGAGCTGATCAATATGGTGGTGCCGGCCGTCAGTCAGCTCCACACCGTCCTTCAGCCAGCGAGCTTGCACGTCTGCCTTGCTGGACACCACACACTCCAGATGCAAAACGTCACCCACCTGTGCCTCGGTGTCCCCAAATGTGCTACGGAACAAAGGCCCCTCCTGCTGCCTCATCTCCTTCCGCACCTTGTAACCCTTGAAGGCAGCCTGGATCTTCACAGCTGCCTTGTCCAGGGATGGGTCACTGAGGTCCTCAATGCTCAGGTCTCCTGATAGTGAGTGCACTGTGGCCAGCTGTTCCTGCCGCTTCTGCAGCTTCCCAAAATGGGCTGCTGGGGCCCCAACCTGTGTGCACAGGTCAGGTAGAGAAACTGAGGCCTGGGTCAGGGAAAGGATGGGAAGGGGCATCCAGGGCAGGCTAGAGGCAGAACCCCATTTGCATCCCAGTTCCAGCAGGTCACTCCGCCTCTGGCTGCTGGCAACTACACTACATTCACTGAGGCTGGATGCTTGATGGCTCTTGTCACAAAAATCAAGCCCACCTTCCCTGAAATCACTTTACACCCAGATGGGGACTCATAGGGTTGTGAGGAACACTACAGAAGGGCCAGTTCCAACTCTTCAGGAAAAACTTTTAACAGCCAGGTGAATGACTAAGTGGTAGATGGTGGATGAGTGGATGGGTACATCAATGGCTGGATAGATAAATAGATGTAAGATAGATGCTTGATGGCTAGCTGGATGAATTAATGGTTAAGTGGATGGCAGATGGATAAATAAATGGATAGTTACCGATGGATGGATGGATTAATGGGTGGTGATAGACCAATGGGCAGCAAGTGAATGGATGAACAGGTGAATGGTGACTGATTGGGTAGATGAGTGAATGTGTGGATAAACAGATGGTGGTGAATGGAGGTACCTGGATGGGTGGGTTGGTAGGTGGTAGATGCAAGAATGGATAAGTGGATGGTGGATGGATGGAAAAATGGATGGTGACAGACAAATGGACAAGGCTGGTTGGATGGATGAGTTGGTGGATGGTGGATGGGTAGATGTATGGTGGATAAACCATGCGTGGATGGACAATGACTGGGTGGTAAAGATCTGAGACACCCAGGCCTCCCTTGCAGGCCAGGCTGGAGGCTCACCTTGCTGGCCAGTGGAGAGGTGCCAGCCTTCCCAGCCTTCTTGAGGTAGGTGACCAGGGAAGGAGTACCTGCCCGGGACTCGTCGTCAGAGCTGGTGTGGGAGAGGTCAGCCTCACCAGTGCGTGCCAGCTCGTCAGCTGTGGAGTAGTCCTCTGATAGGTCAGGAGCTACATCCTCTGCCTCCTGCCGCTGGCACTGCAGGCGCCCGTCCTCCTCAGGTAGCTCACTGATGGAGTCTAGTGTGGGTTCACGGCTCATGCGGCGCTTCCGAGCAAGGGCCTCCCATAGCAGGTGCAGATCACCCTCCTGGGCTGCCTCAGGAGGTAGGCTGGGCTGTGCAGGGGCCTCATCCCTGGATCCTGGTGTCAGTACCACTGTGGACAGCAAGAGACTGATCAGCCAGGTAGGAACAGAGTCATGACCCAGGCCAGTCTGGGCTGCTGACTGTGGTTCCCTTCAATAGGCCTCTGCTGTCTGCCTGGGCTCCTGGAAACCTTTGATGGCACAGTCTTTACAAGGTTTCATAGGCTCTGAACAGCTCTCCTTGGGCCTCAACTTCCCCTGATCAGGCCAATCCTGTCATCAAAGTGAGGGGTGGTGGTGCTCAGAGGTCATGGGGAGGTTTATAGTGCAGCGGGGAGAAGACACCATGCAGGAGGACTCAGAGCACAGGGGCCTGAGGAATTAAGAGACCAGTAATTGGTACCAAGGGCTAAAATGGCCAGGATCACATTCAGGGAGGAGGTGCAACCTAAGCTGCCAGAGAAATGGTTCTGACATGAAGCTGAGCCACAGCAGTGTCTGTGCGATTCCCTAGCAAGTCTAACCTTGGTGTGAAGCAAACTCCCCAAGTGGACCCCCTGCTACTGAGGGTCACCCCACCCACAAACCCTAGGGTTCCCCCTAACTCTTCTACTCCCACATATTGGGCCCTGGAGGACTCACCCTGGAAGGTCTTTGCAGCAGCAGAGATGGGGTTCCTGGCAGGGGCGCAGCGGTATTCACCTTGGTCCTCTGCTGAGAAGCTCCGGATCACCAGCGTCTGCTGCCCACCTTGGCAAAGAACCTGGAAGCGCCCGCCGGGCTGGATGTGTTCCTTTCCCTTCAGCCAGATAACCTCACCAGCTTCCACCACCTCACAATCCAGACGCAAATCCTTCCCGGCTGCCACCTGCCGGCTCTCCGGAGCCAGGGGTACAGGCGGGGGTTCCAGGGGCTCTGCTAGAAATGAGCGCATCAGCAAGGATGTGCCCTGACCCTCCAGTTTCTCAGGAGGCCTGAGTGATCCAGGCTGAACACCCCCACCCTCATCTGTGGGGCCAGGGCTGCAACTTACCAAGCCTCACCGTCTGGGGCAGGTGCACGGGCTCTCCAGCGCCTGCAGGGCCCACCGCTGCCACGCGGAAGCGGTAGGTCTCCCCAGGGGCCAGGCCATCCACAGTGCACTCTGGCTCGGACACCAGCTCGTGGCACAGCTGCCACTCACCAGTGGCTGATGCCTTCATCTCTACCCGGTAGCCACAGAGGCCGCCGCCGCCATCGCTTGCGGGTGCCACCCAAGAGAGTGTTACGGAGCGGTCACTGTGCCCCACCACTTCGGCATCCTCCGGGGGATCTGGGAGGCCTGTGTGGGGGTGCAGGAGGGTCAATTCAATGTCTGCTTTCTCTTATGGGACACAGCCCAGCCCCTCCTGCCCTGAGGTCTGATTCTGGGGCACAGTGAGGGTACAGGCAGATCACCCCCCAGACCTGTGAGCAGGCATGCCCGGGACCTCCTGTCTCCGGGAGCGAGGGTCGTAAGCTTCAGTCACAGAGAGACTGTGCACCTAAATCCACCCTGGGTGGAGGGACACGGAGAACGCCCAGTAACTTCTGGAACTGGAATTTCCCATCCCTACCCAGTCACAGGAGAATCCAGCACCCAAGATGCAACAGGTGGGCAAGCCACCCACCTAGCACGGTAAGCTGCGCGGAGGTCACAGCATCGCGGGCAGCAAAGGTGACTTCGCCTGCGTGGTGTGGCCCAGCGCAGTGCAACAGCAGAGTGTGGTAGCTGCCATCTGCAGTAACAGTCCAGTCTGGGTCATCCAGCTGTACTGCAATCCCATTGATGTACCAGGTCGCCTCGCCCACCGTCACAGCCTCACTGAGCGTGCAGCTGAAGTGGGCTTGCCTTCCTGCCTGAATGGCCACATCTCTCAGGGGCTCCAGGACCTCCAGGCGCCAGCCTGGGGGAGGAGGTGCAGGGTGTAAACTCGGGACCAGGGATGGGACCAGGGACGACTTTTGGGGGCTAGGAGGCTCCCAAGCCACCACCCTCCCATCCCTCCTCTCCCTCTACCTTCAAGCAAAGGCAGAGGTCCCAGCTCGGGTGGGAGGTGTCCCGGAGATCAGTCTTCCCCACCGGAGGGGTAATCTGATCTCTGAGACCATTGTTCTCCCAATTCCCAGCCTGCCTCTGGTTGCATGAGGCCTCAGAGACCCACAGCCCGAGGTCACAGCCCTCCCACTATGCCTATTCCCTCTCCCCTGATACAGCACAATATTGGCTGAAGGGGTCGGAGAGAACCACGCCCTAGGTGGCCACAAGCTTTCCTTGCACCCTATTATCTGGTGGGAGGGACTCTAAGAGACCCACACTCACACCCGCACCTCTGACTGTGAGGAACGCTGATGTCACCACATCCCCAGCCAGGAAGGTCACTCGGCAGCTGTCCTGAGGCTTCAGGTTTTTGAGCAACAGCAGGTGCCGCAGACCATTCTCAAAGTAGACCATCTCAGCATTCTCCGAGCTGTGCACAGGCTGGTCATCCAGCAGCCAGGTGTGGGTGGCCACCTCTGGCTGGGACAGCTGGCACTCAAACAGAGCTTCACCTCCCTCCAGCACCTCTGCGTTCTCCAGGCCTCGCACCACTGTGTTCTTGGCTGGGGGATGGAGGCAGTGGCTCAGGGCATTGGAACCTCTACCACCCAGGTCCCCCCACCCCCAACAGTGGTGTGGGAGTGCTTCCCCATGACACAGGGCCCAACAGCAGGCCTTCAGGAGAGAGACCAGTGGTGTCCACATGGAGCCTTCATGCATGTCCTCCCAAGGCTCTGCCCACCTTCACACCATCATCACGCTAGTGGTCAGGATGGGCGGGGGTGGGGGTGGGGGGGTGGGTATCCTCCTGACCTCACAGGTGAAAAGTCTCAAAGTTGTTCCCAAAACTTACCAAAGCCACAGCCAAATTCAAATGGCCTGAGGCCACCACCCCTTGCCCTGGCTACAGGTGGGGGTGAGAGATGTAAGGGGCCAGGTGGCGAGGTCAAGCAGGAAAGGATCTGGCCCCCTTTCCTGTCTCCCAGCCAATACTATCAGGCTGCTCCTCCACTTGCTGGGACCAGAGAAATCTCTGCCTATATATTCCAACCCTCTGGTTCTCTCCTACAAAGTCTGAGTCTGGAATAAATAGCCACATGGAAGTCATGAACTCAGTGCCACCTCCTAGAGCTGTTCCCAGGATAGGCATCCAGCCAAGAGGAGTGACAAGAGGGGACACTGGAATAAGAATGAAGGAGGGATGCATGGGGGAACAGCAGGGAGTCAGCCCAGTGGGGTGAGAGATGTAAGGGGCCAGGTGGCGAGGTCAAGCAGGAAAGGAGCGCCAAGTGACACAGGGCTGGCTCAGATGCTGGAAGGGTCTGGCTTTGACCCATGACAGCAAGGAACCACTGTAGTCACTGAGCTGAAGGTTCAAGCCCACAGCCCCAACTGCTGTGTGGGTACATGCCCTAGACAGAACCTGAACACAGCCCTGATGTTCCCTCCCAGATCATTTAGAGTCCAGGCCCATGCCTGCAGTTAGGGTTGTCTACTGTAGAAAGGAGTCCAGGGAGTGAAGTGGGGAGGGTGTCTCAGAACAGAGGACCTGCTAGGCTATCTACATCCCTTTATCAGACTGTCCTTCCACCCTGAGCCACTTGCACTACAGACCAGACTCCACTCAGCCTTCCTGTGGCTGAAGTTTCTGCCTAGATGTCCATGAGCCCAGCCCCACCCTCCAGGCCCAGGACACACTGCAACCCTTCCTCATAGCTCCAATCATATTTCCCAATGGGAATGTCAAGGACGCTGCAGTGAATAGAGGGAGTTTTGTCTGTTCTCTGGTGTGCTCACAGGAGCCAAAAAAAATGTGTTTATAAAACTTAGTTGTTGAATTAGTGAGGGGGGTGACCTCAAGTGGCCAGGGGCAGAAACTGGTCTCACCTGCTCACACTTGCTGTCTAGCTTCGATGGCCCCAACAACCCTCTTCACTCTCCAGCTCACTCATCACCAGGAATGGTTCAGATTTTCCCAAAGAGGAAGTAGCCACAGCCAAATGATGCCCCCTATCCCACGCTGGTTCCCCAACAGCATATCCTTTTAAGGACATGGGGCTTGGCACACCCTCCAAGTGATCAGCCTGGGAAGGGGCAGAGCTGGGATCTGAGCCCAGAATTTGGAGACACAGTCCCACCTAGAGCCCTGCTGAGGGCCCTGCGACCCCAGGCCTGCTTGCTCACCTGCCCAGAAGTTACTTCCCTGCCTGCCTCCCTAGTGTTTTGGATATAGATTCTTTAGGTGCAGTTTCTGCCCAGGGTCTGTCCAGCCACCCTGTCTTATCAGGCTTCTTGGGGAGGGATCTGGATGGGTGGGCTCAGGGCTGGGCCAGTTTCAGCAGGATCTACCTGCTTGGATCTCATCTTTCTAGAAATTACTGTCATTGTCACGCAGCACTGGCTGTCACTGCCTGATGTTCCACATTATATGTTTTAGCTCAAAACATGCCAAAGCCTGCTGGGCCTGGGGCTGCCTGCTGGGCGGCCTCACCTTGCACTTGCAGCAGGGCTACCACACGGGTGCCCGCGGCCTCACAAGAATAGATGCCACTGTCGCAGGGCAAGGCCGGCCTGAAGGACAGCCTGGCCACGGTCCAGTCCTGCTCTATGATGACACGACACCCGTCGGCGCGCACCTCCTGCTCATCCATCTTCCACGTGGCCTGCACCGGCCGTGAGTACTGGCAGAGGAGTTCAGCCGGGCCACCCTCCTCCACCACCAGGTCCTGCATGGCACTGACCACCTCCACTGCTGGATCTGTCGGCCAATATGCCAGGCACGTGTAAGCCTGAGCAGTGTGATCAGGGCCCACCCACCCTTTGTGGGCAGCGGCAGCAGTTCATCAGCAGGCAAGTGAGAGGCTTCAGCAGGAAAGGAACTAGTCATAGTGGCCCAGGACCCTCCACACAGAGCAAGTCTTGCCCCTACACACCCCACCCATGGCAAATGGCTTCTATCCACTTGTCCCTTCCTGACCCCTCTGACCTCCTGAACCCTTTCCTCCCTGGGCCTGGGGAGCATGCTGCCCCAGCAGGGACACAACGCCCCCTCCTAAGAGTCCAGGGGCCCTCTCAGGATCCATAGCCTCTGCTGGGCATGCCGCATCCCCAGTCCAGAGTGTGCCTTTTCCAGGGGACTTTCTGCCCCTCCAGAGGGTGTCATCCCATCTTCACCTGGCAAAATCCTACTCAACAAATGTCCATTTATTCTGCAATAGTGCAGAGAAGACCAGTAAGCAAATACTCCAAGTGAAGCCATACCAAACGGCCATCCCAGGAGCACCTGGCTGGGAGTGCACTGAGAGATCCCTGGCAGCCCACTGCCCTCCCCAGTGGCTAGCTCTTTCCCAGAAGAACACAAGACACAAGACCCCCCAACTCAAACCACAGCGATGTAAGCAGCCACAAGCAGGGATAGGGCAGGCTGAGCAGTGACAGGGCAGGCTGGGCCAGGGTGGGAAGGTTGCCCTCACCTCCAGGCTGCCCTCTGAGTGTACACCTGAGGTGGGTGCAACCGCAAGAGTAGCAGCCAGGTGGCAACAGTACTCAAGGCCCCACGAGCAGGTGGGCATGAAGTTGGCCTCCAGCTTCATGCTCTGAACCAAGCGTTCTTTCTCATCCAAGAAGCAGGTCTGCAGCTTGCCTGAGTGTCTGCATATGGCATGTATGGAGCAATGCCAGTCCCCAACCCCCTGCCCCAGGGGCCTGCAGGAAGCATGCAGGAGCAGCAAGGGCAGAAGCATCAGTGCAGGTGGTGTCCCATAGGCTGGTACCTTTGACCAACAACTTGGCCGTGGAGACCAGGGGCCCTGCACGGTAGGTGACGGTGCCTGAGTCAGCAACCCCCAGGCACGACAGCGTAAGGGTATGAAAGGTCCCATCATGCACGCAGATGATACTCTGGGGGCTGTCCTGCAGCAGGGTCCCATCCAACCACCAGCAGGCCTCAGGCCCACCCGCACAGGACACCTCACAGGAGAACGTGGCCACCTCCCCCGCAAAGACGTCCACATTCTGCAAGCCACGTACCAGGCATGGTGCTGCCTCTGTACAAGAGGGCGATAGGAAGGCAGGCTGGGGTGCCCTGGGCCCAGAGGGCCATGTGGGGGTCTACCATTTTGGGGACCCCTGAGGCTAGGATCTAGAGATCTACTTGGGTCAGCTATCCCCCCTTGCTCATGGAATGATATACTCAAACCACTCACAGAGAATGGGCTCAGCCTTCCTTCCCCGACACCCCTCTCCAGAATACACTTGGTTTCACAAAAGTACACAGAAGACACACATCCATGGTCTCTTCAGCAAGCAGAATGAACAAGTCCCAAGCTCCATGGCTTCAATCTTTGTGGGTGGGGAGGAGAGGCTGTGGGGCTGCCACCCTGAGAGGGTGGGGTCTGCCTCAGGTGGTAAGCCCTCCATCCCTGCAGGTGTGGAAGCAGATGCTTATCCTATTCCCAGAAGGCTAATTGTCCAGATGTTAACTATGATACTTCCGTCCATAAGATTCCAGGGCCCCAATGCCCATGGCAACTGCTTACTGCTCCGTCACACAGCAGCCCTAGCCCAAAGGCTTCTACAACACAGTTGCTGCCTGCTCTATGCTCCCACACCTGCCCCAGCCAGGCCCTCCCCATGCCCTTTCTGGGCATGCACCACTAAAACCCAGCCCCAGACCTCCACCTGCCCTAACCCTCTCCCAAGAATGCACATATGGTAGTACCCCCTGCTCCACCAGCTCCTCATTCCCATTTCCAGCACCATTCCCAAGTTGGCCCACACGCCAGCTACCAGGACACCCATTTGCACATCTCTACGCCCATTGCCCTCCCCCAAGAACATGGCCAGATGTCTGTACACAGGCCAATTGGCACAGGCTTGGGACACCTGGCTGACAGGGGTCAAGGCATAGCCCTCAGCAAGATCCATTAGGCCCAACCCAACTCTATGACCCCCTCATAGCCACCCACCCTGGTGAATACATAAAGACCTTTCTGGCCCAGCCTGATCAGGACCCCTAGGATACTTCCCCTCTCCCACCACTCAACTTGAGACCTTTCCCAGCCCAAAGACCACAGAACTGGCCATTTCTGTTCACCCCAGAAGACCCAAGACATGCTTTGCCTCTAATGTCCAATTAACTCAGTGGATTGGGGGTTCCCCAATGAAAGTGCTGTAGGTCCCTCTGAAGGTCCACGACTTAGACAAAGGTAGAATCTTAGAGGGTCTGTTCAATGTATAGATAATGGATGGATGGATGGATGGATGGATGGATGGATGGATAATGGATGAATGATGAAGTATGGTGAGTGTATGGAAGATGAATAGATGGTGGATGAATAGAAAAATGGATGGTGGGTGGATGGATGGATGGATAGATGGATAGATGGATGGCGGATAGGTGGGTAAATGGTAGACAATTGGTTAGATGGATGGGACCAGTGTGATAACCAGGGGTAGAACGGCAGGTAAGGGACACTCAGGAATGACCAGCTCTGCAGACAAGGTATAACCCAACTGAAGGTTCTAGAAATCCTGTTTGCATGCCTGAGGCCAAGTACATTATAACCAAACCTGTACATGTGTCTTGGGTATGCTATTTCACCATCACCTGAGAAACTGTCAAGTATGTACATGTGTGTTAAGATGACCTGTGTCATAGGAGTAGTCATACAGAGGGTAGCCATACAGAGGGCTTCCACCTTAGGGCCCAGCCCCCTTATTCTACTGCCAGGCACCCCATCTCCCTCCTGCAGATAGCACTAACCGTTACAAACAAATCCCACCATGCACACCAGAATGTCTCATGCTGATCTTCACCAGCTCACCTCAGTGGGCTACCCAGTCCAGGGCTTTAGCAGTTAAGGGTTGGAATATTGCCACCCCAAGGCAAGATAACTGCTAGAAGATGGGTTTTTGACCACACCACCCCCAAATAGCTTTTTAACTAGGAAGGGATATAAAGACATCACCTTGCCAGGCATGGGAGGGGGCTGCCCACCTGTGACCTTCAGCTGGGCCTCTGAACTACATGAGCCCACTTGGAAACCGATGGTTCCAGCATCCTCGAGGGTCACCTGTGGGAGCAAAGATGGGATGTCAGCCTGGCAGTCCATCCAGACCATCTCTCCTGGCAAGTCCCCAAGCCAATCCAACTGGAGTTGGAACCTTCTCCACCCACACTCCTGGGAACATGTGGATGGAGGCAGGTCCCAGGGTCCCACCTTGTGAAGAGTGAGCGAGTGGAATGTGCCTTGCTCCACTGTAATGTCATTCATTTCGTTGGCCTGCAGGGGCACCCCTCCCAAGGTCCAGCGAGCCTCCTGGCAGGAGGCCCTGGACAGCTGGCATCGGAAATGGGCATCCTGGCCCTCGCAGAGCTGCACATCCTGCAGGGGCTCCAGAATGGTCACCTCGGGGGCTGCACCAAGGAAGGTGTGGAGTCAGCCTCAGCACCTGGGATTCTCAACCACCAGGAGCACTTCCCAGTCCTAGTGTCTGCCCCCAGCACCCCACCCCAATTTCTGCAGATAAGCATACAAGGTACCACTTAACCCTGTCATTTTGGATCACCCCAGAACCACCCATGCATGGAGCTAGTTCCCAACCCCCAAAGCAGGGACTCTTGCAGTCTGCTTCTGTGCCCCAACAGGACCTGGATGTTCTGTCTCCAAGTGGTGAGAGGGCAGCTGCCTTCACCTAAGACCTCGGACAGTGAGCTGGGCTGAGAACTTGTGGAGGCCCATGTGGAAGAAGACAGTGCCTGAGTCTTCAGGTGTCACACTCTTCAGCCACAATGTGTGGGTGCAGTTGCTCAGCACAGCCGCCTCTGTCACCTTGCTGCTCTGCAGTAGCAGGCCCTGGAGGTGCCACTGGGCATCTGTGCACCCGCCCTCAACACCTCACAGCTGAATTCCACCTCCTTGTCAGCCTATACCTCGGTGTCAATCAGGCTCCACATGATGGTTACCTTGGGCTCTGGGATGTAGGTAATGGGATCCTTTATACCATCCAGGTCTGAGCACCCAGGCCAGCCTCTCACTTTCCCTCCTTCAAGAAGCCTTCCCAGATACTCTCACACTCTTCTCCTGCCTCACACAGCATTCATCACCCAATTTGCTACAAACAGGGACCCCTGGGGGCAAAGGTGGGCTCAGGGGCTCCTCTGTTAGGAGGAAACAGGCAAGGGGTTGCAGGGGGTGAGCAGGGTGGTAAGCTTCCTCTGTCCATCCCCACCCTGTGGCCAGCCCTGCCCTGTCTGGGACATCAGGAAGGCAAGACCTTCAGATAGAGAGGCAGGGGCTCAGAGAAGACAGCCCAGGTTAGGCAGGAGACAGGGTAGCATCCACAGGCCACAGCCTTAATTTTCCCAGTGTCCACAAGGGAGTGGTACAGAAATGAGAAGAGAGAGCTTGTAACACCAGAGACCTGAGAGCCACCCTAGAAAAGCACTTGGAGAGAGGGGTTCACAGGGCAGCTATTAGAGGAGGGCTCACCTCTGACCTTGACAGAAGCCATGGTTTTCTGGCCACCCACCACACAGGCATACTCGCCGGAGTCCTTGGCCTCGAGCACGTGGATCAGCAGCTCACACATGGCCCCCTCGTGACGCATCTCATACTTGGGGCCTGAGTGCAGCTCAACACCCTCCTTGAACCACTGCACAGGGGCCCCAGGCTCCACCTCACTCAGCTGGCAGCACAGCCGGACCAGGCTGCCCACCTCCTGCTCTGCTCCCTGCAGCTCAGTCTGGAACATGGGCCTGGGAGCTGGGGGGCCAGAAGGGACACTTACAGGTGCTGAGCAAGACACTCGCTTCCCCACTCACTGGGTATCTGAGGCGTCTGAGGGGCCTGAGGAAAGTGGTACACAGGTAGCTCACCTCTGACTGAGAGTCTAGCAGTGCTCTGTGCATGGCCTGTGTCGCAGGTGTAGTGGCCAGTGTCCTCCTGCTCAGCACCATGCACCAGCAACTGCACAGTAACGCCTTCCTGCACCATCTGGTACTTGGCGCAGGGGAAGAGCTGCAGCAAGCCTTTGCGCCACTCCACACTGGCACCTGCCCGGCTTAGCTCACAGCACAGGTATGCAGTTGTGCCCTCATCCACCTCCTGGGCCTGCAGCTCCCGGGTGAACCGCACCGGCGCAGCTGTGGGGAGAGGTACATAGGGTCAACAGAGTCTCAGGTCAGTTCTGCCCACCAGCCCTGCCAAAGCCAGGGTCCCCTCAGATGGGATTCCCAGGATGAAACTGCAGCCCACGGGGTCCCCCCAAAGCATGTGAGGACTGTGCAGAGGGCAGAGCCCACCGTGGGCCCACCTGTGACAGTAAGGGTTGCGCTGGTGGCCTGGGAGCCACAGGTGCAAGTGTACTCTCCCGTATCCTCCCTGCGCAGGTCACGCAGCACCAGCTCCACCATGCAGCCTTGCTGACGTGGCTCCCAGCGCCCATTGGCCTGTAGTTCCAGGCCACCCTTGCTCCAGACCACAGAACTGGGCTCAGACAGCTCACATCGAAGGCTGGCCCAGGTTCCTTCCTCAGCCTGCAGGTTCTGCAAGGGTTCCCTGAATACCAACTCTGGGGCTGACAGGTGGGTAGGCAGAGGAGATACAGGGTCAGTCCAGAGACCCAGCCATGAGACAGGCCCCACACACACCCAGTCACACCAGTTAACTCCACTGAGAACCTAGGTCAGGTATGGCCTTCAGCTTCACCCCAGCTGCTTGCCCAAAAAACCCTTTGTAACAGGCCCCAGGAGACTGGGGTATGAATGGGCATCATGGGTCTGGGCCCAGTTGAAGAGGAAGGAGGGTCCATTGTGGGAGCTTCGTGAGGAGCTCTGGATCTAACCAGAATTTCATGCTGGCCTCCACCCAGGATGCCCATGGGCAGGGTTATGTCCCACCAGGTAATCAGGACCAGGGGCATCCCCTTGGGCCCCTAAAGCAGAGCCATCCCTCAGCCATCCCTGACTAGCAGCTAGGGAGAAAGGAGAAAGGATAAGCGGGTTAGGACAGAAAGAGGACACAGGCTGGGATTCTGTCTTTGCCATGAGAACTGGCCACGTGAGGTCATTTGGATGGAGATCAGTACCCAGACACCGGGACACTGGACAATTTAGTGACAGGCAAGCAGACAAGAGATAGGGAGAAACTGTTCAAGGCAGAGAGGAGGTGAGTACCCATGGTTAACCAGTGTGTATGCAAGAGACAAGGAGAGGTTCATGGCATCCAAATGAGTCCATGTGGCCACATGCAATTTTTACCCCTGACAGTCAGTGTGGCCGATGTCCTCTCTTGCCCGCACACGCAAGAGTACTCCCCAGCATCCGCTACAACCAGGTCCCGGATCTCCAGCTCACACACAGTTCCATCCTGCCTCAGGCTGATTCTTTCCCCAGCTCTGAGGATCTCAAGCCCCTTCTTCCACTCCACGGGAGCAGCCTTGCTCAGCTCACACAGCAATGTGGCCTTGGTCCCTTCTGTGGCTTCTTCCTTCCTCAGACACTTTGTGAACTTGGCAGGCAAGGCTGGGGAGGGTCAGAGTAACACAGAGAACATTGGACTGTCTGAGAGACTCTATGTCCAGGATGAGGACACCCACAAGGACCACGCAAATTGCAAAGGGCCACAGTATAAATGAGAATTAATGTACGAATGATGACAGAGGCAAATGGATGAGAGGAACAGAAGAGACAAAGTACTGGATACAAACATCAGAACATGAAAGTGGCCACAGCCACAGCAGGGAGATGCTCAGGGACCCTAGTTGGAGAGACACAGCCATGTAGTTCTACAGGGCAGAGGTGGTGAAATGCAGACACCAAGCCATTGGTTCACATGGCTATACATGGTCTTTACCCCTGACAGTCAGTGTGGATGATGTCCTCTCCTGCCTACACTTGCATAAGTACTCCCTGGCATCTGCAACTACCAGGCCACAAATCTTTAGGTTACACACAACCCTGTCCTGCCCAGGCTGACTGTCCCCAGCTCTGAGGGTTTGTAACCCCTTCCCCCATTCCACAGAGGCTGCCTTGCTCACTTCGCAGCATGGTGTTACCATGGTCCCTTCCATGCCTCTTCATTCCTCAGACCTTTTGTGAACTTGGCAGACAGAGCTGGTGGGGTTTGGGGAGTCATAAATTCATTAACACAATCAGACATCTGAGCACACAGATAAGACAAGATGTGGACAGCACACAAAAGACATAAAACCCATGTGCACACAGGCCACATGCTGAGTGTGCCTAGTACACACTGTGCATTGTGACTTCCCTCAGCCCAGCCTGTGAACAGTGTGGCTGTGGTCACTTTCATTCATTCATCAGGCTTCAGTTTTTGTATGAAACTGGTATACAGGACTAGAGAGGATCATAAAAACATGTGATTATCATATTCTGTGAAAATTCTAGGGTAGGACCTGAGAGGACAAGCTACATGACAGACTCTGACAACTGGACAAAACCAATGATAACATGAGGGGTGAGAAGTGGCTTAGATGCTGGTTTGTCATGGTTTGTACAATAGCCCAGGAAAGTGGAAGAGATTCTGTGGAATTATGGGAAGAGGGTGACACCAAGACAGCAGAGAACATGGAATGAGTGTGGATGGATGTCATGAAGAGAGTACTGAACATCAAAACATGGCTCTGCTTGGCGACACGTGGTCTTTACCCCTGACGGTCAGTGTGGTTGATGTCCTCTCCTGCCCACACACACATGAGCACTCCCCAGCATCTGCCACAGCCAGGCCTCGAATCTCCAGCTCACACACAGCTCCATCTTGCCTCAGGCTGACTCTGTCCCCAGCTCTGAGACTATTGGACCCCTTCCTCCACTCCACAGGGGCTACCTTGCTTAGCTCGCAGAGGAGCGTGACCAACGCCCCTTCTGTGGCCTCCTCATTCCTCAGCCCTTTATGAACTTCGCAGACAGGGATGGGGAAGATTAGAGTGACACAAAGAACATTAGGAGGACTAATGTGTCTGGGGGACTCTGTATCTATGACAAGGACACCCATAATGACCATATAAACTGCTCATGGCTATGACATAAACTTGTGAACAAACACATAGATAGTGACAAAGGTAAATGGAACAAGAGAAACAGAGGACTGAACATCAGACATTTGGATGGAGAGATGAAGCTAGGAGATGCTTGGGAACCCCATTTGGAGACATAGACCCATGGATGCTACATGGAAGAAGGTGTTGACACAGTAGAAATGTGCAGACACCAAGCCACTGGTGCATAAGGCCATATGCAGTCTTTACCCCTGACAATCAGTGTGGCCAATGTCTGTTCTTGTCTGCACATACATGAGTACTCCCCAGTATCAGTCAGAGCTAGTTCCCAGATATCCAGCTCACACAGGGCTCCATCCTGCCTCAGGCTGACTCTGTTCCCAGATTTGAGAGTCTCAAGCCCCCTTCCTTCACTCCACTAGGGCCACCTTGCTCAACTCACCGTGCAGTGTGACCATGGCCCCTTCCATGGCTTCTTTTTTCCTCAGACCCTTTGTGAACTTGATGGGTAGGGCTGGGGGTGGGGTAGAGATAGGAAGACACAATCATACATTTGAACACATGGATAAGACAAGACAAGCACAGAGAAGACATAAAACCCACGTGGACACAGGTCACACGCTGGGTATGCTAGTACACGCTGTAGATTGTGGCTTCCCTCAACCCAGACTGTGAACAGAGTGACCATAGTCACTTTCATGGCCTCAAGCTTTGTATGAAATTGGTGGACGAGGCTGAGGAGGGTTTGGAAAGACACACGGAACAAATTCTGTGGAGAAATTTGGGGCAGGACATGACTGGATGGAGGAAACGACAGACTCTGAAAGGACAACAGTACAAAACCAGTAGTGACATGAGGGATGGTAAGTAGGTCAGGTGCTAGTTTCTTGTGCTTCGCTTAACAGCTCAGGAAGGTGGAAGAGATTCTGTGGAATTATGAGAGGGTGACACTGAGACAGGGGAAAGAACACGGAATGAGTGAAGATGGATATCATGAAGTGAGTAAGTGAACACCCAAACACGTCTGCTTGGCCACAAATTGTCATTACCCTTGACAGTAAGTGTGGTTGATGTCCTCTCCTGCCCACACATGCATGAGTACATCCCAGCATCTTCCACAGCCAGGCCCTGTATCCCTAGCTCACACATGGCCCCATCCTGCCTCAGGCTGACTCTGCCCCCAGTTTTGATGGTCTCAGGCCCCTTCCTCCACTGCACAGGGACCCCCTTGCTCAACTTGCAGTGCAACATTGCTGTGTCCCCTGTTGTGACCTCCCCATTCCTCAGATATTTTGTGAACTTGACAGGCAGGGCTGGGGAGGTAAGAAGGACCCATAAAGCATCAGACTGCCTGGATAATTTTGGGGTAGGGGTAAGACATAGACACTTGACAATAAAACACATTCTGGAGCAAACGAGGAATAAAAGCATGGGCATGTGGACACAACGGTGGGAGTAGTGCCTATCCAGGTGAAGGCCAGTGAGGAGATAAAGGAGCTGGATCCTCAGTGTGGACCTCCAACCAGGACAGACACAGGGAAATGGACATATGGACAGAGACAGTGACCAGAAGGATGTAATCTGAAATCTTCTGTTGCTCATCCTGCTTCAGACTGTATCTGACACCAGATTCGAGGGCCCAGGCCCCTTCCCTCACTCTACACGCCAGACTGCTCAGGTAACAATACTATGGTTGTGGTCCCTTCCATGGTTCCCTATTTTTTAGAAATCTGTGTTCCTTACAGGTATGACTAGATGAAGGAGACATGAAAAGGGCTGCCTAAATCTCTCTCATGAGTTTGCATCAGTGTTCACTCATCACCTCCTGTAGCTCCTGAGGTCAAAGCCGGGACTAACCAGGGCTGACCTGGACAGACCAGAATAAGGTATTGCCCTGGCCAGGAGGGTACATGAGCCACCTTCTTCCTGGCTTGTCACCCTGGTACAGTCATCCTTGGAATCCCCAAGCTTCTAGACGCAGCTCTCCTGAGCCACTTGTAGCTCTCAAATTCTATACTCTTTGGCTATTGACTGAGTGATAGCTCTCTGAGTCCACACTCCTTTTGTCTCCCAGTAGGTCTGACCAGCATAAGGGCCCAGTGCTTCCCTGCTGGAGATGCTGTGCTTTGTCCATGCAGCTTGAGGAGTCATGGTGGTGGCTTCTCCCCAAAGATCTGAACATTTGTGCACATGATAGCCCTGCCCAGCCTCCAGAATCCTCATCTTCACTGTCCATCTTATCTCATGAGTGGGTCTAACCAGGGCCTATGACATGAAGGCCCTACAAACCTGCAAAGGCGTCCTTCCCTCTACTCCTGAGACCTAACCCTGCCCCTGTGCCCCTTCATCAGTGTTGCTCCTTGGATCCTCCCAGGATACAGGGTAGAACCTTCCTATCTCTGTCCATCTGCTTCCCCTTCCGGAAGTGACCAGGACCTCATGAGGGCCACTGAGGACCAGGAACCCAGGACCTGTCACCAGACTGCCAACCATACCTAACCGTGCCAGGCCCAGTCTTGATTCCCCATCTCTGAGGGTCTCAGGCCTCTTCCACCATTCCATGGGGGAGCTTTACTCAGCTCACAGCACAACAGGGACATGGCACCTTCCATGGCCTTCTCAGGCTTCAGGACTTTTGTGAACTGGGGGCACAGGACTGGGGAGGGTCAGATGGATACAAAGACATTGGATGCTATAGTTTGCAGACAAGAAACAGGCCACACATACCAAGCTGGCAAAACAGGTACCTTCTAGAATAAGACCCCAGGGACACCAGTCAAGATGCCCTCATATGTACTGCTCTGATGTGAGGGGACACCCACCTGCCCCCTGCATGAGTGCTCACACAACTGGCTATCATCCACCACACAATGGATATGGCTTAGTCAGCCCTAAGCCCTGGGCCAGCTCACCTTCTCCATCTGAGAAAACCCCTACCCCAACCCTCAACCTAAGCTATCAGTCCAGCCCAGACTACCTGGACACACCCCAGTAAGCCCTCTACTACTGCAGCAGAGAGCCACCAGACCCACCACAAATACAAGACATGGAACATCAACCCAGAGTGCCCACCGGCCCACCAGCCACAGACACCAGTCACAGACCCTCCACCCCAACATGGACACCAACCATCCCTTCCTGGCTAGGGCTGTGCTCTCCAATCCAGCCCTTCCTGCCCTGCCCCCACCCACACCCATCTTCTAAGATCTAATCTCCTCCTCACCTTCCACACCCAATTCACTTCCACCTCTCTTTGACACCAACCCTTCCTCACCCTCCATACACAACTCCTCCTCATCTCCCACACCTACCTCACCTCCTACTCACCTCCTACACCCACCTCACTTCTTCCTCACTTCTCACACCTACCTCACCTCTACCTCCCCCTCCACACCCACATCACTATCTTACCCTCTACACCTGCCTCACTTCCCATGGCACCCAGATTCTAGACAGTGGACCCCAAATCACCTATATGGCTCTTTTATGACCAGTCACATATGATTGGCTCCCTCCCTCGATCATAACTCCTGACATCTCTGCATCAAAGCCACATTTAGATCTACTTCCTAATCCTTGCTGGCATGGCCCCTTGAGAGGACTATATTCCACCATTTGTGTTGTGTAACTGCCCTCCTTGTCTCCCCCAGATGTGACTCCTGTAAGAGAGGAGGCCCTTGTTCTCTGATCTTTATCTGAGAAGGCCTCACACAACCAGGTGCTGAAACTTGTGCTGCAGGATAGCAGGAGACACAGAGAGAGGTGGAAATAGCTATGCACACAAACATAGCAAAGGGACCTGCTCACACCCTCAGATACAGAGCCTCTGCTCCATGTGGCCACATGCAGTTTTTACCCTTGACTGTCAGCATGGCTGATGTCCTCTCTTGCCCACATATGCATGAGTACTCCCCGGCATCTTCCACCACCAGGCCACGAATCTCCAGCTCACACATGGCCCCATCCTGTCTCAGGCTGACTCTGTCCCCAGCTCTGAGGGTCTTGAACCCCTTCTTCCACTCCACAGGAGCCGCCTTGCTCAGTTCACAATGCAGTATTACCGTGGCCCCTTCCATGGTCTCCTTGCTTCTCAGTCTTCCTATGAACTCAGCAGGCAGGGCTGTGGAAGGTCAGAGACAGAAAACATCCTCCTCACCCTCCTACAGGAGATGAAAGGTACCACATGGGTTTGCATGGGCAGGGCAGGGGCACTCTTACCCTTCACGGTCAGCATGGCTGAGGTTGCCTGGTCGCCGAAGCAGCAGACATACTGCCCGCTATCATGGGGCTGCAGGTCCCGGACTACCAGCTCCAGCATGGTGCCCTCCTGCCGCATGCTGTACTTGGCACCTGGCCTCAGAAACTCATTTCCACAGCGCCACTCCACAGGCGCAGCTACAGATGATAGCTTGCAGCGCAGGGTGGCAGCGCCACCTTCCGGCACCTCCACATCCTTCAGCCCCTCCTGGAACTGCACCGGCCGTGCTGTGGAAGGCACAGGCTCAGCTTATCCTCACTCCTGCATCCCCTTGGAATTCCCCTACAGTTGAGGGGGGCTGGAGGCACCAGTGAATGGTGCAGGCAGGCCCACCTCACCTCTTCTATATCAGGGGCTAGTGACAGTGACCCTGAGACACCTGCCCCTCCAGGAGGGGGAGCCAAACAAAAGAACAAAGAAGGGTGGAGTGTCATGAGCTGCATTGTGTCCCCCGTCACTCACTGGAGCCCCAACCCCAGGACTTCAGATGGGGCTGTATTGGGAAATGGAGACTTTAAAGATGTGATAAAGGTGAAGTGAGATCACTAGAATGGGCTCTAATCCCATATGACTAGTGTCATTATAAGAAGAGATCAGGTCCTAGTCAGTTTGGCTCAGGGAAGAGACAGCCATCACCAAGGAGAAAAGCCACAGAAACCAGCACTACACACACCTGGATCCCAGACTTCCAGCCTCCAGGACTGTGAGAAATAAATATCTGGTATTTGAGCTGCTCTGTCTGTGATATTTGTTATGCAGCCCAGGATGACAAAAATTGATGGAGATGAAGCCAAGGCAGGAAGAGGGAGACACAGAGATTTCACAATACAAGACAAAGTTGGGAATAAATTACAGGAGACAGAGAATCAGGAGACCAAAAGCAGGCAAGGAAAGCTCTGTCAGCAGCAGAGACCCAGAGACGGACAAGAAGCAGTAAGAGGTACGAACTGCAGAGAAAAGAGCTGGCTAAATCTCCCACACCACCTGCCTACACACACACACACACACACACACACACACACACTGAGAGGGCAAAGACAGAGAGAGAAGGAGCTGGGTGAGTTCTGGGACCTCCCCTGCCCTGAGCAAGATGAGAGCCATGAACACCTGGAGCATGGCTGGAAGCAGCCTGGTCCTTCCTTCTTGGGGGCTCACCATGGACTCTGACAATGGAGCTGCTCCAGGTACCCCCAGCCTCACACTTATAGTGCCCACCATCCTGAAGGGTGGTGCCAGTGATAACCAGCTGGGCTCGGCGGCCTTCATGGCTCAGCTGGCACCGGGCTGATCCTCGCAGGGCTTTCCCATCCTTGGTCCAGTGCACAAGGTTGTCCGGGACAGTGGTCTCACAGACCAGGATCAGATCCTCCCCTTCCATTACTGTGGCATCTGTGAGCTCCTGGGAGAAGACACTTGGCTTCTCTGGGGACACAGAGAGAAGTACAGAGCACTTGGGGGCTCCTGCAGGAGAAGCTCCAGGTGTGGCTGCAGCCCAGGTAACATCCCAGGTCAGTGCCCATCTGTCTACCTCAGCCTGGAGACACAGACAGGCCAGGTTCTGCATGGCTCCCCACACCACAGGGACATGGCCAGTACTATGCCACATTGACCATGGAATCAGCTCTGCAAACCATGTGCAATGATTCATCCTGAAACAGCCATACCCAGCCTCCTAAGCCTACACTGGGACCCAAGGCCCAGCCCACAGCACCCTTTCTGTGAGCCCCATGTTCACACTGCATCTTGAGCCACATGGACTGGTCCCCACCACAGCACTGGGCATGCGGCCCACCTGTGACCTGCAGGGTGGCTGAGGACCACTGGTCACCTGCTTCAAAGTAGACAGTGCCCAAGTCCTTGAGCCCAAGCTGCCGTAGGATGAACACATGGTAACCACCTGACTGAGCCTCAATCTCATTGAGCTCATTGGTATGCAGGGGTGTTCTGTCCAGGAACCAGTGGATAGGCCTATAGTCACCAGGGGAGACATGGCATCTGAAGGTGGCTGAGGAGCCCTCCTGCACCTCTGCGTCCCTCAGATGCTCCATTATGAGCACTCTCTGACCTGGGGGGTGGGGCATGGTGGGCATGTCAGAACCCCACTGAGAGAAACAGGGTGCTCCCCAGACCTGGGGTGGGCTCCTGACTGTAACAGGTTCAGGATGATGAAACTAAGGAAACAGTAAGGGAGTCAGAACTGAACTGACCCAAAGTATTTGTTTCGAGTCCACAGAGAAACCCCAGTCCCCTCGATCCTTCTATGGAACATGAAGAGTGACCCACGATGGCCCCTCCACAAGCTGTGCTTCTCAACCAGTCCATGTACCTGTCCCCACAGCCACATAATGAAACTAAATCTTGTATTAATAGAAGACATTAGAGTGTGAAAAAAAAAAAGTGACTATGTTAAAACTTAAATCCAATGCTTTGGAAGTTTGACAATATAATTGCTAGAATTTTTTTTTTTTCTGTCAACTTAGGTCAGAGACACTTAGAAAAGGTCAAATGCAAAAATGGGTGTGTAACAGATTTCTCCAAATTTACGGGTGCCTTAAAGCTGCCATATGCCGAGCACCAGATGTCAGACACTGGATGCCAGACACCAGACACTCGATACTAGATACCAGGCACTGAACACTGGGCACCAGGCATTGGACACCAGGTGCCAGGCACTAGGCACCAAATACCAAACACTGGATGTTAAATACCAGCACAAGACACTGAATGCTGGGTACTGGACGCAGGACACTGGACACTGGACACTGGGCACCAGATACCACAAAGTGCAGATGGTGCATCAAGAGGTGAATGGTCAGAGACAAGGACTTCTGATTAAAGGACTGACACAGAGAAAAGGCATTGGCCACACCACCAGATGGGCTCATGAGTGTGTGTTTTAAGTTTTGTAAAGAGCATATTTTATTACCGTGTGGTGTTGCATTAACCGGCTTTCTAGTTAAGTATCTACTTTATTAATCTCACTGAGCTCAATGGACTCACTAGATTTTTTATAGGAAAGGAGAGAAAAACCCAGAGTGAGACTTCTTTGTTATTCTGATTTCCTGCAAACAGACCCTACAAGGGGCCTCCAGCTGACTCCAGCCTGGATGCTGGCCCTGGAATCAGGAAGGCTGAACTCATCCCTGCACACATGCTAACATGCCCGACAATCCTGGGCCAGCCTCTGACCCCATGTAACACTTCAGTTTCTTTATCTGTGAGATGAAGACAATGATGGTCCTCACCCTACCTGCCAGGTACAAACTGTTCCTCAAACCTGGAGACCTCCATGCACAGAGGCGGTGCATCTGAGTGCAAATACACATGAGCTCATGCATGGGGCTTGGCACATGCTAGCTCAAAAGGAGCTCCAGAAACACAAATGCAGTAATAAATGAGGACCGCTGACTCATTGCACAAGGTCTAACTGTGAGGGCCACAGAGATGAGACCACCCAAGGTAACCCCTCCAGGAGATGGGAAAACCAAGTCTGGTCTTGTTCAGGGGCCCTGTGTCAGCTTTAAATGAGGCTTACACTGGCCACATCACAAGCCATGAAATCTGTGCAATGCACCAGCCTCACCTTGCACCAGGAGCCGTGCCTGGGACCTTGCATGGCCAATGTCGCAGGTGTATGTGTCACTGTCTGTCTTTTCCAGGGCGCTGATCACAAGTCTCAAGGTCACGCCCTCCTGGCTGGGTTCATGCTTCCCTGAGGCATGCAGCTCACAGAGGCCCTTTCGCCAGGCTACCATGGCTGCAGGGTGCTCTGTCTTGCAGGTAAACACAGCCATGCCTTTCTCCTCCACCTGCAGATCAGCCAACTCCTCTGTGAACCAATTTGACTTTTCTGGGGGAAGAGACAAGAAGAGGTGGGGGTAAGTCCTGCAGACCCCAGCCTGCCCCTCAGGACATGGGCAGTTCTTTCTTTAGCCCCTTTCCTCTGGACCCCCTCCCTTTCCACCAAGGGCATCACAGTGGAGGCCCTGAGGGAATGGCCTCATGCCATGCTGAGGAAGATAGGCCATGGGGGCTGACCCAGAGTTTCTTGTGGGTTACCTTCCACTTGGAGGCTTGCTGTGCTCTTGGAAACCTCTGTCTCACATGTGTACTCTCCAGAATCTTTGAGCGAGACTGCATGGACCACCAGCATGGCCCTAGTGCCCTCGCTGAGCAAGTCATACTTCTGACTCTTACGAATGGCTTTCCCATCCTTCAGCCAGCGCACTGGTGTGTCTGCCCGCGACAGCTCACAACTCAGTATTGCATCCTCCCCTGGTATGGCCCGCTGGTCCTTCAGTGGCTTCATGATGTCCACCGGCCTTTCTGAAGGAAGCAGAAATAGCCTGTGAAGCAAGGCAATGGCAGAGCTGGTGCTTGGAAACCTTCAGGCTCTGGAGCCTGAGACCACAGATATACAACCTGAAATTCTAGGACCTCAGATCCACGAACCTCAGAGCTTTAGAATACCGGGAGTCTCCACTGTCACAAACAAGGTATCTTTGAAAGGGATATATGAGAGCACAGATGCTTTCAGCATTGTTCAGAGCCTGTGACTCAAGGTGTGGCCATGGCTGGTACCAGCTGTGAACCAAGCTTCACTGATCTGCGCCCAGTATTTATGCTGGGAGAACAACCTCAGTGATTTCACTGGCTCAGTGGCTCAGTGACAATGTGCCCTGGAGCTACTGCAGCAATTGGACCACAGATGGGAGACCAGAGACTCTGCTCCTACCCAGAGACCAGAGAACCTTACCCTAGAGACTGAGCCTCTGGATGACCAGAAACCCCCAGCATCCAGACAGGAGCCTCTGGGCCCCCACCAGTGGCTGAGAGAGATCATCCCCAGAAGCAGCCCCCTGGCCCCAGGTCCTGCTGCAGGCTGCCTGGGAAGAGCACACAGAGATGACTTGTCTGACCTGGATGCATGGTGCCCACCTCTGACAATGAGTGAAGCCTTGGAAGTGAGGCCCCGCACAGAGAAAGTCACCTCCCCAGTGTCACCCAGCACTGCGTCTTGCACAGCCAGGATGTACTTTCGGCCTTGGCGCATGGCCTGGAAGCGACCAGAGCTGCCCAATGTCTTCCCGCCGACTGTCCACATGGCAGTGTCGCCTATGTCTTCATGGGACAGGATGCACTCAAAGTTGCAGCCCTCACCCTCTAGCACCTCCATGGTCTTCAGCCTTTTGGTAATGCCCACGTGCAGGTCTGTGAACCATAAAAGGCAGCTGTCACATTGGCCAGGCCCTGGATGCCTGCTCAAGACCAGCGCCATTGAGCCTCATAGTGTTCTGGAGGCTCAAATACACACCCTTCCCAGCCCAGTCCAAGCAGGCCTGCTGTCCCTTTGGAAATGCCCCCTTGACCTCCAGCTGGCCACACCCTGGTGTTTGGATAGCCAACAGCTGTGAGTTCTGACCAGGGCACTGCCTTCCTATCTGCTACAGAACAAGGGGCAGAAAACAAAGCATCAGTTTTCACTAGCTCACATGCTTTGAAAGAGAAAAGATAGGTGTCCCGAGTGAAGGGGCCATTGAGCTCTGAGAAAACTACACCACCCTCCTCCTTTCCTGTCTCATCTCAAAACCCGCCAGATGTCAGGGACCCACCACCAGGTCATGGAGAACAGGCCTGCTATGCATATGGAAGGGAAACAAGAGTATTGGAGCTGGGCCAAGATAGCAACCACCTGGTTGGGGAACAAGACCCAGGTTGTGTCTGTGACCTAAGAGCTCTTCCAGGGCATCCCTGGCCTGACACCTTGACTTCTCCCTCTCCCCACCTCCAAGAGGCTCCTGTGACCAGCCCATGCCTGCCCACACGCATCCCCTGGTGCACAGTGTTTGTCTCCAGGCCCCTGTTGAAACTTGAGCACCACAGGATTCCATCAGATAAAGCCAATCAAACCTCCCACACTTCACTCCATTACTGTGGTCCCAACCTTCCTGCACCTGGGCCTCCTAAAGACCACATCAAGACTGCTCCACCCAGAGCTTGCCCAACATCTCCTGGTTCAGCAGAATAGCCCAGGCTTAGGAATGGGTGGGGCCTCAGGAGGTGGCCAGGGCCCCTGAGCCCCAGTCATGGCCCCAGCGCCTCAGCCACACCTCCACGCACCTTGCACACTGACATGCGCATGGGTCTCCTCGGTGCCTAGGTGGCAAGTATACAGGCCCGCATCATCCTGGCTCAGGTCGTGCACCACTAGCTTGCGCATGCCCGCCATTTGCAGAAAGTCGAACTTGTCACTGGGTCCCAGTTCCACACCATCCTTACGCCACACCACACAGGCCTGGGGGTCAGAGACCTCACACTGCAGAGCCAGGGTGCTCCGCTCCTCTGCGGACACATCATCCAGTTCTTTCAGAAACACCACTGGCTTCACTGCAGGACAGGGTGTAAGGAGGTGAGTAAAGGAGCCGCCGCCACCTGTGGAGACCTCTGGGGTGGGACCCTCACAGACCCCCACAGGGACACCTCACCTCTGACCTCCAGGTGGGCAAAGGCCTTTACTTTAGGGGAAGAGGCACACACGGTGCCTGCATCTGTCCGCCTGACCCGCTTCAGCACCAGTGTGTGGAGGTGGCCCTCATGGGTGATTTCGTGGAAGCTATCATTATAGAGGAGAGTCCCATTGAGCGACCACTCCACCTCTTCATCCTCGTGGGAAAGCTCGCATGAGAAACAGGCGCGGCCCTCCTCTGTGGCCTCCACATCCTGCAGCGGCCGTGTCACTGTCACCTCCCGCACTGCAAAGAGCACACAGTGAGATTCAGTGCACTGCACCCCCCCGCTCTCCCAGGGCCCTCCAGGTGGCCCTGTACCCCCGTGCTGCACACCTTCCACTGTGACCTGAGCGCTGCTCTGGGCGCTGCCGGCCTGGCACCGGTAGATGCCAGCGTCCGCAGGTGTGAGCCGCAGGACACGAAGCTCCGCCATGTGACCCTCTAGACTCATTCTGAACTTGTCAGATGGCACCAAGGGTGTGTCCTCCTTGTACCACTGCACAGCCTTGGGGGGTGGCTTGAAGTCACAGGACAGGACCACCGACTGTAGCTCACGTCCTGCCTTAGGTTCCAGTGGCCTCATAAGCACCACAGGGATGTCTGCGCAGGAGAAGAGAACAGCACTGCAGGGTGGGCCTGGCCAGCGGAGCCTGGGGAACTGTGATCAGCTACCCAGGCCCTGCACACCACAGCTGCCTGAGCCCCTCTTTCAGCCCACTGACTGTGCTCACCTGAGACAACCAAGTGGGCAGTAGAGCGCGACTTGCCGATGGTGAAGTGCACTGGCCCGGTCATAGTGGAGCAGGTGCGCCGAAGCATCAGCCGGTGCACTGTGCCTTCCTGCTCCATGCTCACATCCGCCCCAGCCTGCAGCATCATCTTCCCCAGCAGCCACTTGGGCGGCCTAACAGATGGGATGGAGGTCTCACACTCGAACCAGGCAGGGGCAGGCTCCATCACCGTCATGTCCTGCAGGTTCCGAACAATGGTGATGGATTGCTCTGTGGGAAAGAGGTGGGTCACAGTACTGGGCACTGGGAGGACCACAACCCCTACCTACCCCCCATTCTCCATGTTCCTTCCTAGAAACAAATCCTCCACCCACCCCCAAACATACATACACACACACACACACACACACACACACGTGCGCGCGCGTGCGCGCAGTGGTGGTCACATCCTCCCCCCAACCCTACCCTGACGCCCCCCAGTCAGGCCCTTCTCAGACCTGGCTGCCTGAGTATCAGACCCAATGATAAAAACTGCAACCCATCCCCAGGCACAGAGGACAGCTGCCCCACCCTCCAGTCCTGCCCACACCTTCCACAAAGAACTGGGCACTGGTCTTCACATCACCAGCATCACATGTATAAGTGTCCTCGTCCTCGGGCTGCACGTCATTGATGACTAACTTTCGGTAGAGGCCATCGCTGACCATCTCGTACTTGGGCCCTGGCCACAGTTCCACGCCACCCTTGAACCACCGCACCTGGGCACTGGCCCGTGACATCTGGCACTCAAATACACCTCGGTGCTTCTCCATGGCAATCTTGTCCCGCAGTGGGCGCAGAATGGATACTGGCAGCTCTGTGAGTGAGCAAGGAGGAATCAGGGTGGGTGCTCAGCCATCAGAAAACCCTAGCACTAGATGTTCTGCCTGTGCAGCCCCCAACCAGCCAGGCTAAGCCAGGTGTCACCCTCAGGGCTAGGACCCTCCGTACAATTAACCCTGAAGAAGGTAAGCGTGCACACATACCCTCACCCTTTCCACCCCTTGCTGTGCCCCTGTGCTACCCCACATCCACCCTTCTCTCTCCTGTGCATCAATGCCCCCACCTCGTGTGGTCACCTTGCCAGTCCACAGACTCTCCCTCCTTCTCTCATGCCCAGTTGCTATTCTTTCCTGTAATCAAGGCCACCAGGAGGGCCTCACATCCCTTCTCTCCAGCACCTGCTGCAGTCTCAGGAGGAATTCACTGGTACCTCTCTTTTAAACAAAGACAGGCCACCTCCCCAGACCCCTGTCTTCCGGCAATAGAGGCAACACCCCCTTTGCCTCCTCCTGGGTCACCCCTGTCCTGTTCTGGGAGGGGGCGGAGCGCTCCATGCCTGTGTTGAAACAGCTGGTGCAGCACCCACGCATGTTCCTATTTGGTGTCCAGCCCACACTCTCCCCAGGTTTCTTCACCTCTCACTCGGAGCTGGGCTCGAGATTCTGCATTTTCAGCTACAAATCGAATTTCTCCCGCTTCTTCTGCCAGGACCCTCCGGTAGATGAGCTTGTGTGTCCTTCCTGAGAACACAGACCACTCAGCACTGAAGGAGGTGTATGGGGGAGGAGGCCCTCCCACAGCCACTCACTGTCATCACACCTTCCTGGCGGATGCGCACGTTGTCACTGGGCCGAAGCTTACTGCCTTCCCGGAACCACTGAGCAGGCACCTCGTCATGGGAGACCTCGCAGGAGAAAGTGGCGCCCTCCTTCTCCATCACCTCCACATCCTCCAGGGGCCTCAGGATCTGGATGCTGCGGCCTAGGGCAGCAAGGGAGGCCCTGCCACACTCTGAGGCACAGAGCTGCCCGACCCCTCCTCCATTCCAAACTTGCTGAGTATGGAGAGCTTTGGGGCCAGAGGATCAAGCACCTTGATGGGGGACACAGGTTCAGGAGGTCCTTGCACCTGGCCCTGACCTCCCACTCTGCCCAGTCCTTACCTTGCACCTTTAGGGATGCTGAGGTCTGAACCTCGTGGGCATCACACACATACATGCCCTGGTCCCCAAAGGCACACTGGTAAATGATGAGAGTCCGGCAGGTGCCCTGGGCTGCTATGCCCACTGTCTTGCCCACACGCAGCTCCATGCCATCCTGTGGGGGTATGAGGCCAGGTCAGGCACTGGGGATGCCCACCCACAGTGAGGAGTGAGATGGAACAGAAGGGTCCGAGAACAGAGGCACCTTCAGCCATCGCACTTCAACATTGGGGCGTGACAGCTCACACTCCATGGTCACTTTGTCCTTCTCCGTGGCTACTACGTCCTGCAGTGGGCGGCTGAACCTCACAGGCAGCTCTGAGGAGACAGGAGGAGGAGATGAGAGTGGCAGGCAGGGGGGAGGTTAGAGGGGGGGTTGTGCTGAGCTGGACCAAATCATTCAACTGGTTCTAGGAATGAATGCTTTCCTCCCCCCCTCCCCAGGATTCCACGTCTTGGTCCCGGCTTGTCCCCCTGGGCCACCTTCAGGACAGGAATGGTTGCACTCTCGAGTGGGTCCCACTCCACCCCACTCCTCACGCACCAGTTACCACAAGCCTGGCAGATGTGTGCACGCCCTCAGCCTTGAAGGCAATGAGACCACCGTCCTGTGGCCGCAGCTCAGACAGTGTGAGGGTGTGGATGGGGCCTTGCACTGCCAGTTGGCATTTGGGCCCTGGCTGGAGCCGAAGGCCATCACGAGTCCAGCTGCCTTCCACGTCAGCATGGGACAGCTCCACCTCCATGGTGGAGGAACCCTGCTCCTGCACCTCCATCACCTGCAGGCCCCGCAGGATCTGGACCTGGCGCACTGCAGAGCAAAAGAGGGAAGGGGATGCCACTGCACCTAGACCATAGACCTAGAGGGGAGGCCAGCTCCCACCCACAGGAGGAAAATGGCCCTCATGGGAGGCCAACTTCACCCTCATCCATGTGACCCCTCTCCTAGTGAACCCCTCCAGGTTGGAGGTCCACCCCCACCCTCCCTTTCCATCCCCTTTTTAGGGCCAAGTCCCCAGTGAGAAACCTGCTCCCCTCCCTGCCCTCTCCTGAGTGCCAGACCCCAAGCTCAGCTGCCCTGCAGCTCACTTTTTACTGTGAGCTTGGCCTGTGTCTTGTCGTGCGGCGTCTCACAGCCATAGAAGCCACGGTCAGCAAAACCCACACTGCTGAGGACCAAGCAGTGATTCACGCCCTCCATGTAGATTGCCACCTTTTCGCCTGGGGCTAGGGCCATGGCATTGCGTGTCCACTTCACCTCCGGCCATGGCCTGGTCAGCTCCACCTCCATGGTCACTGAGCCCCACTCCTCCACTGTCTGTGGCTCCAGCTTCTTCTTGAACAGCACAGGAGCCTCTGGGGTCAGGGAAAGGGTGGTCACGCAGCCCACTGCCACTCAGGAATGCCAGGCACAAAGGGCTCCTGACCACCCCAGCCTGCAGAGCGGAGCCCCACCACATTCTGACTCCAAGCCATGCAAGGCCTTAGCAATACTCAGGGCCCAGCTGCACACTTGCCCAGGTATACTTTTATGGATCAAAATGGAGACTAAGGAAGTTTCTCCTTTTCCAAACCCTTTACATGTTCTGCTCCCGTGCTCTGTACAACCCTGTTATGCACAAGTGTCTGGAGCTCCTAAATGTGGCTGGTGACCAGCAACCTTGGGACACAGGAGTTGGTGAGACAGATGGGCTCTAAGCCCCCAGACCAGCAGCATTGGCATCTCCACTATATTGATGCCCTAGGAGTATGCACGTTAAAGAAGAGAAATGCTGGATGGGCTTCCCAGTCCCAGGCTGTGCCATGACCTCTCCAGAAAATGAATCTTCCCATATTATTCTCGTACTCAAGTATCTATGATGGCTCCCACTTATCCTCAGGTGAAGGCTAGCTCTCACTGGTACAATCTGGCTTCAGCAAGAAAAGTGCATCCTCACCTCCTACATCTGCTTGCACTAGCTGCCGATTCCTCTCCCTCTCATCTCACCATCTATGGGGCTCAGTGTGGGACACCTCTCTCAAACCAGGTGCACAGTGCAGCAATTTACTTTCTCTCCCTTAGAGGAGGTGCCCAGCCCTTCAGTCCCATCCCAGTCTTCTCTTTGCAACCAGCAAACCCTGTGTTTCCTGAGATAAGCCAGCGAGCAGCGGGATGCCGCAGGATGCCCATCAGGAACCAGCCAACCCCGGAGTGGTCCAAACTTCCGGCCACGCGCCCCTTCCTTTCCCCCCCACACACACACCTCTAACCCGCAGGGCAGCAGAGGATGTGACGCCCTCTGCCTCCGCAGTGATCTGGCCGGCGTCCTCCAGGGCCAGATCCGCGATGGTCAGGCTGTGGTTGGTGCCACTCTGTGTCATGAGAAACTTCTGGTTGGGCTGCAGCTGGGTGCCGTCCAGGAACCATGTAACCGCTGCATCGCTGGGGGTCACCACGCACTGGAAAGTGGCCTCTCGGCCCTCCTCCGCGACCACGGTGCTCAGCCCAGACGTGAACTTGACCTCGCGGGGGACTGTGGACAGGGGCTCTACTTAGGAGGTGGGCAGGAGGGGCAAGGCCCAACTCACAGATGCCACGGAAGAGCACCTTTACCATGAAGCTGCCGGAGAACGCCCAGTCCCCTCACCCAAGCCACCAGCATACCGTAGACTGAGAGCCTGGCACTGGTGCGGTCGTCACGGCTCTCGCACACGTACTCGCCCGCATCCTCTGCCCGTAGGTCCAACACAGTGAGCGAGCGCTGGGGCCCCTTTGCCGCAATCTGAAAGCGTTTACCCGCCCGGAGCTGCATGCTCCCGCAGCGCCACAGCACCTCGGCCTGCACCGGGCTCAGCTCACAGGACAGTGTCACTGTGCCGCCCAGCTCCCCGCTTACAGGTTCCAGGGGCCGGCAGAACTTGGAGGCCACTTCTGTGGGAGGGGAAGGACATCAACTGGGAGGGGCTCGGGCCTTCAGGACCGGCTTTACACTTTAGGGTCATGCACCCTGAGCCCCACCCAAATCTGCTCCAGAACACTGCCTGCATGCCCTCAAGTGAAACCCCAGCAGGCGCGAATTCTCAGAGGACTGGGTACGGGCCGCTGACCTTCCACCTGCACTGGGAAGTCCTGCCGCTCGGTGCCCACACGGCAGCTGTAGACTGCGCTGTCCAGAGTCTGCGCGCTGCGCACGGTCAGAGTGTGGGTGTACCCCAGGCTGGTAGTCTCATGCCGCTTGCTGCGGCGAATCTCCACGCCATCCTTGAGCCATTTAATGGCAGCCACAGAGGGTGTGGCCAGCGTGGCAGTCAGGACGATATCCTCATGCTCTCTGACCACCAGAAGCCCCCTGTGGACAGATCTCTCCAGGCCTGGTGTCTCAGGCTCTGGCTCTGGGGCACAGGAGGAGAGGGGAGGAGGGGGTCAGTCATCATGAAAATGGGGACCCTGCATCCCTGACCTGGGCCCTGCCTCCCTCAGGCCATTCTATAGGAGAAGACCTAAAATGGAACTGCCCCAAGCTCCAACTGCTATGCAACGCCCTGCTTGTCCAGCCCTTGGCTGCTGCTTCCACTGAGCAGGCCCAAGTGTAAATGCAGCAGGGCCCCACACTACCTGAAGGCCACTATCCAGGCTCTCATGAAGAGTGGCCAAGAGGAGCCAGCTTCAGGGCACCACAGGCCTGGAGGCCACAAGTCTGTCTGACCAAGACCTCCAGGGAAGCATGAGCCTATACACAGATACTGCAGATGGAATGGGGGCAGCCTGGTGGTTGGGCTGACATTCCAGAAGGATAGCAGGGGAGCTAGAGAGGGCAGCCTGGGCCCAGGATCCTCGGGACAAAGGCTGAGATGTGTGAAACAGTCTGAGTAGCTCAGCATGTGGGGGGGGGGGGGGGGTAGTGTGCAGTGGCAACAAAGGTGGAGAGGAAAAGCCCTAGATGGGGGTCCAAGAGGGACCCCGTGAGAGCTAATCCAGGGGTGCACCTGAAAAGCATGCTGACTGTATAATGGGGGACAGGGGGCAAGGGGATGTGGCAGTGTCAGCCAGCTCAAGACGAACACCTAAAGCAGGACTCTAAAACCCAGAGGTGCTGTCATCAGCTGGGGGAGTGTAAGGGGCAGGCACATGAGGAGGACCAAGACCAGGCCTAGATGTGCCTGAGCAAGGGCCAGCTCCCAGGGCTGATTTAATAATAGTTAGACAATCAGGACCCCAAGGCCAGGACAGGGACCCATGCTCCACTGAGGACAAAGGCATCCAAAGCCAGAAGCTCCTTGAGTGAGATTTCCATGAGTAAGACTGGACTCCATAACTATGCAGGTCCCAGACTGAGAATGGGCATTTCCATAGACCTCAGCCCTTAGCAGCCTGCAGAAGCCTCTGTGACAGGTTCCATTCTGGGAAGGTAGGAATATGGCAAAGGGGAGCAAACACCTGGGCCAAAGGATGTCGAAAATGTTCTGGAACAGGGTCTGTAGCCAGCATCCTCAGACCCAAGATCTCGGTAGAGGATGGAGCCCTGGGCTAGACATGTCAACAAAATCCAGCACAGGTAGAATTATACCCATAGGGCAGGCACAAGCCTTTCAAAAAAATGCCCATCCCTTGATTGGTCAAGCACTTGTTCTCTCTGCCCAGACTAGCACTCACCTGTGACATCTAGGCTGAAGGTGACCCTCTGGCCTCCAGCCTCGCAGCTGTACTCCCCGCCATCTACCTTTTCAACCTGCAGCAGCACCAGCCGCCGGGTACAGCCGGTGGCCTCCACATGCACTTTCGAGCTCCCACTCAGCTTCTTGCTGTCCTTGTACCATGTCACCTGCATCTGGGCCTGGGCCACCTCACAGCTCAGCGTGGCACTGGCCCCCGCCACCACCTGTACCTCCCTGTGTGCAGGCTGCTCCTTGGCGAACACCACTGTGGGCTCTGGGGACAGAGAGGGATGTAGAGGGTCAAAGACTCCATCTAAGTCAGGAGGATAACACTGGGGAAAGTACTAAATAGGGAGGTGGGAGGACTGGAAACTTCTTCAGACTCTGCACTTGCTGTGTGGCCTGCAGAAGCTCCAAAAAATATTTAAGTCTGTGAGAGCACAGTGTTTGAAAATGTTTCCCCACTGTGACAGCTATTCAGCTATTGAAACATGTTCTAAAAACATTGCGTGTGGTTTTTGGAGACAACAAACATAGTGGCACTCATGACTAGAGCAAGGGTGTGTGTGAGAGTGTGAGTGTGAGTGGTTGTGAGTGTGGATGAGCAACTGCACAGCAGTGTGGAAACTTAAGGCAGAGGGTTCCAGTGCTGTGGACAGGAGAGCAGCCAGCTAACGCTGTACACTGTTTGCAAGGCACTTCTTGCTCGGGGCCAGACGACCCCAGCATTTTGGAAGATCAGCTGGGTCCTCTCTGGGAGCAAGCAGCAGGGAATAGCTAAGGCCCAGCAACTTGAGGCAACCAGTGCAACTTGCACCAACAGACCAGTGGCCCCCACTCTGCCACCACAGGCCAGCACACAGTAGCCATATTGTCAAGGCAGCAACAGTGGGCCTTGGGAACTAAGCACTGCCCCCAGCAGCAGTAGCAGCCAGCTTAGGAGCTGAGCACCACTCCCGATAGCAGCAGCAGTGCTCAGCCCAGGAACGGAGCCCCACCTCCAGCAGCAGCAGAGGCTTGGGAGCCAAGTCCCACGCCCACCCCCAGCAACAGTGAGGCTCAGGAGCCAAGACCCACCCCTGGCATTGGCAACAGCTGATTGGGAGCAGAGCCCCAGCCCCAGAAGCAGTGAGGCTCAGGAGCTGAGACCCATCCTCTGGGGGCAGCAACAGCAGCAGCAATGTGGATCAGGAGCCAAGTCCTGCCAGGCAACAGCAGTACCTGAGGACCCGCACACCCCAGCAGTACACCAACTAGATCCATGCAACTCAGCAGCACCTATAACAACAGACAAACACAAGCCACCAGCCATCAATTCTCCCAGACCCACACTACACAAAAGGCACCACACCCCAGAACAGACTGGGAGGCATAGCAGTCTTATCTGATACACACCAACATGGCTACGCATCCCAACATGCCTCACCTGGCCCCAAACTACCAGACTGCTAAAATGATGAGACAAAGAAACCACTCCCAGATGAAATAAAAGGAGGAACCACCAGAAAAGGAACTACATGAAATGGAGACAAGTAGTTTGTCAGATAAAGAAATCAAAGCAATAGTTTTAAGGATGCTCTAACAACTTAGTAAGAACTACAAGCACCTTAATAAGACAACACCAGCATGAAAAAGAGGTAGAAGCTGTGAATAAAAATCAAGTGGAAATAAAGAATGACATAGCTGATATAAAAAATACTTTGGAAGGATTCAATAGTAGATTAGAAGAAGCTGAAGGTGGAATCAGTGAGTTAGAAGACAAGGCAGAAAAAAACACCCAATTAGAGCAGCAAGTGGGAAAAAAATAAAAAAGCAAGAGAGTTTAAGGGAGCTTTGGGACAATACAAAAATGTAACAACATTCACATCAGATGGTTACCAGAAGGAGAAGAATTGGAGAAAGGAATAGAAAACCTGTTTAAATAAATAATAACAGAAAACTTTCCTAACCTAGTGAAGGAAGAAGTCACACAAGTCCAGGAAACACAGAGTCCCAATCAAGATGAACACAAAAAAGACCCATATCTAGATACATCAAAATTAAAAAGCAAATGTTAAAGACAAAAAATAATAATCTTAAAGGCAGCAAGAGAGAGTTGGAAAGTTAACTACACAAGGAGTTCTCATTAGACTGTCCCCTGATTTCTCAATAGAAATACTGCAGGCCAGAAGGGAGTGGCATGAAGTATATAAAATACTTAAAAACAAGGGTCTGGATTGAAGATACTCTATCCAGCAAGGCTATTATTCAAAATTGAAGGGGAAATAAAAAGCTTTGCACAAAAAGGGGGGGGAGGGGCTAAAGGAATATACTACCACCAAACCAGCACTGCAAGAAATGCTAAATGGCTATTGTAAGAAGAAGAAGCAGACAGAGAGAGACACACACAGGCATAAAGAATAAAAATGGCAACAAATAAGTACTTATAAATAATAACCTTATATGAAGATGGCTTAAATGTTCCACTCAAAAGACATAGAGTAGCTGATTGGATAAGAAAACATGACCCATATATATGCTGTCTACCAGAAACCCACCTCATAATAAAAGACTCACACAGGATGAAGGTGAAGGGGAAGTGATGGAAAAAAATTTTACGTTCAAATGGAAACAAAAAAAAAAGCTGATGTAACAATATTCATATCTGATAAGGTAGACTTCAAAATGAAAGCCATAATAAGAGATAAAGAAGGTCACTACGCAACATTAAAAGGATTGATCCAACAAGAGGATATAACCCTGGTAAACATATATGCACCAAATATAGGAGCACCAAAATATATTTTAAAATTTCTAGAGCACTTCAAAGGAGAGATTGACAGCAATACAATCATAGCAGGCGACTTTAACACCCCACTGACACCCCTGGGAAAATCTTCTAGATGAAATATTAACAAGGAAACAGAGACCCTAAATGACACACTAGATCAATTAGTTTTAATTGATATTTACAGAACATGTAACCCCAAAGCTACAGAATATACATTCTTCTCAAGTGCACATGGGACATTCTCAAGACAGACCACATGTTAGGACATACACTCAATCTCTACAAGTTCAAGAAGATTGAAATCATATCAAACATCTTCTTGTATCACAATGGCATGAAACTAGAAATCAATTACAATAAAAACACTCAAAAACATTCAAACACATGGAGGCTAAATAGCATGTTATTAAGCAATGAATGAGTTACCAATGAGATCAAGAAAGAAATATAAATCTTCTTTGAAACTAATGAAAATGAACACACAACACAAAATCTATGGGACACAGTGAAAGCAGTCCTGAGAGGGAAGTTCATAACAATACAGGCCTACCTCAACAAACAAGAAAACTTTCTAACAAACTATGTAACCCTACAACTTAAAGATTTAGAAGGAGAAAAAAAAGAAAAACCCAGAGTTAGTAGAAATAAGGAAATAATAAAGATCACAGTGGAAATAAGTAATACAGAGACAAAACACACACACAATATAAAACTATCCTAAGTGAAACAAGCCAAGCAGAAAAAGACAAATACCACATGATCTCACTTATATATGGAATATAATGAACCTAACAGTCTGAGGAATAGGGTAGACCCAGAAACATGGAAGTAGGGTACAGACTGACAACCCTCAGAAGAGGGGTGGTGGGGGGTGGGAAGAGATAAACCACAGAACTTATTGCATCCCCAAAAATTTGACAACATATGTGAAATGGACAAATTTCTAGAATCATACAGTCTTCCAAAATTCAACTGGGAAGAGTCAGAAAACCTGAACAGACCAATAACAATTTTAAAAATGGAAGCAGTAATCAATAAACTACCAGCAAACAAAAGCCCTGGTCCAGATACCTTCACAGGGAAGTTTTATCAAATATTCAAAGAATAACTAACACCTATTGTTAAACTATCCCAAAAAATTCAACAGGAAGGAAGATGCAAGCTCTTTATATGAGGCCAGCACTATCCCAATTCCAAAACCAGATAAAGACACTACAAAGAAAGAAAATTATAGGCAAATATCCCTGATGAACAATAGATGCCAAAATCCTCAACAAAATCTTAGCAAATCAAATCCAGCAATACATTTTTTTAAAAGTATACACCATAACCAAGTGAGATTTATCCCAGGGATGCAAGGCTGGTACAATGTTCACAAATCAATAAATGTGATATACCACATAAAGAAAATGAAAAATAAAAATCATATAATTATATCAATATATGCTGAAAAAGCATTTGACAAAATCCAGCATCCATTTCTGAAAAAAAAACAAAAAAACTCTCAGCAAAGTGGGAATAGAAGGATCATACCTTAACATAATAAAGGCCATATGTGACAAACCTACAACCAACATCATACTCAATGGGCAAAAACTAAAAGCATTTCCCTTAAGAACAGGAACAATACAGGGATGTCCACCTTTGCCAAAATTATTCAACATAGTACTGGATGTCTTAACCATAATGATCAGACAAGAAGAAACAATAAAGGGCATCCAAATTTGAAAGGAGGAAGTGAAACTGTCATTATTTGCAGATAACATGATATTGTACATAGAAAATTCTAAGGAGTCCACCAAAAAACTACTAGATTTAATAAATAAATTTGGACAATTAGCAGGATACAAAATCAACATCCAGAAATCGTTTGCATTTTATACACCAATAATGAACACACAGAAAGAGAAACTAAAAATCAATCCCATTTACCATTGCAACAAAAAAAAAACTAAGATACCTAGGAATAAACTTAACCAAGGAGGTAAAATATCTGTTCTCAGAAAACGACAAGACATTGAAAAAATAAAAAAAGATATAAAAAAAAAAAAAAGTGGAAGCATATACCATGTTCATGAATTGAAAAAATCAACATCATTAAAATGTCCATACTACCCAAAGCAAACTATAGATTCAATGCATTCCCTATTAAAATACCAACAGCATACTTCACAAATCTAGAAAAAAATACTCCAAAAGTTTATTTATATGGACCAAAAAGACCCTGAATAGCCACAGCAATCTTGAAAAAGAAGAACAAAGTTGGAGGGATCACAATTCTGGATTTCTGGTTATACTACAAAGCCATTGTAATCAAAACAACCAGATACTGGCACAAAAACAGGCATATAGATCAATGGAACAGAACAGAGAACCCAGATATCAACCCAAGACATGCGCAATTAATATTCGAAAAAGGAGGCAAGAACATACAATGGAGTAAAGACAGTCTCTTCAATCGATAGTGTTGGGAAAATTGGACAGCTACATGCAAAAAAATGAAA